TGGCACTGAACTGTGCACTTAAAAATTATTAAATGAGTGCTCACACTTGTAATTGTAGCACATTGGGAGGTCCATGCAGGAGGACTGCTTGAGCCCAAGAGTTCGAGACCAGCCTGAGCAGCACAGTGAGACCCTATCTCTATAAAATATACAAAAATTAGCCAGGCAAAGACCACCATGCCTTGTAGCCCTATCTGCTCAGGATACTAGGGTGGGAGAATTGCTTGAGCCTAGGAGTTCAAGGTTACAGTGAGCTATGATTGCACCACTACATTCCAGTCTGGGTAGGGTCTTATTTTTATAAGACCCTGCCTATAAAAATAAATGATTAATATTAAAAAATTGTTAAAATGGCAAATTTTATGTATATTTTACCATAATTTTTTTCAATTTAATGGCTGCCAAAAGGTTTTTAGTATGCATCTTTAATTGCAGTCTACTTACAAAGACATTTTACCACATCACATGTTGTGTAAAGATCTTAGAATTAGATACTCCCAATCCTCTGTCCCATCATTTGTTACTATAGTTACATATGCTATAAACACACAGCAAATTTCTACTAGTTTTGCTTCAAAGTTATCTTTTAGAGATAGTCAAATTTTAAAAAATGAACTTTGTATCTACCTGTATTTATACCACTCCCATAATTCTTTGTGTAGATTCAAGTTTCTATCTTATATCAAATTCCTTCTGTCTTAAGAAGTTTCTTTACTGTTTTTTGTAGTGCAGGTCTCCTGGTAATGAATCCCCTTACTTTCTGTTTTCCTTTAAAAAGTCTTTATTTCTCCTTCACTTTTGGATGAAATTCTTGCTAGATATAGAATTCCGGGTTACGTTTTTGCCTTTCAACATCTTAAAAATCTTATTCCACGATCTAGGTTGCATAGTATCTGAAAAGAATTTTCCTCTTTCTTGTTGGTGCTCAGTATGATGTATCTGGGTGGGTTTTATTTGTTTAGCAATTATTCTGTTTGCATTCTCTGAGTTTCTTGGATCTGTGGTATACCATCTTTCTTTCTTTTGAAAATTGTCTATCTTATCAAATATATTTTCCTCACTCTCCTTTTTCCTTCTGAGATTCCAATTATTTTTACATATATATATATATACTTTTTGATATTATCTCACACTGTTGGTTGCTCTGGTCTTTTTTAAATTCCCACTCTTTTTTCTCTTTGTGCTTCAACCTGGACAATCTTCTATTGATCTGTCTTCAAGTTCACAGATCCTTTCCTCAGCTGTGTCAAATCTACTGGTAAGCCTGCCAAAGGTATTCAACTTTGTTATCACATCTTTCATTTTTACTATTTGTATTTCATTTTTTCTAATACTATCATCTCTGCTATAATTTCTTTTCTGTTCATGCATGTGCTCCACCTATTCTGCTAGAGCCTTTAACATATTAATCACCATTGTTTAAAATTCTGACATCTGGGTCATATGAGTCTGGTTCTATTGATTGCTTTGTCTTTTGACAGTTTACTATTTGTCTCTTGCTTCTTATGTGCCCCATAATATTTGGTTGGAAGCCAGACATTATGTTTAGAATAGTCAAGACTGAGGCAAATAGTGTTTATGCCTAAACATGGGCATGTTTCTTCTTTTCTTAGACCTTTAGTTTGAGAGAGAAAGTTAAGTCAATCTGGTCAGGCATGAAGCTGGATTTGGATTTTATTGTTGCTATGGTAAATTCACAAGTGCACCATAGACTTCAAACTCCTCTAGTATCATCTGGTATTTCGGATATAGGCTCATTTGCCAGAGGGTTTTTCTTTTATCTCAATGTCTGCTGTTCCACCCTCAGATTCAGGTCTTTTTTTTTTTTTGCTGACTGCACCTCAGAGACCATCTTTCTCCATGCTTGTGCCTCTCCCATAAAACAGACTGCCATTTTCCAACACTAACTTGGTGGTAGGGGACAAGCAGGGGGCAGCGCTCTCTGAGATTCAGCCACAATCTTGGAGGCTCTGGGTCCCTGGGTCTAGAGGGTGGGAACTTCTCAGTGATTGTACCTGTCTCTCAACTGTAGAGAAACCATGATGCTCCAATATGTATTCCTATCCCTCTTCCAGGGACAGAGGGCTTATTTTCCCTTCTATTCTATTTCCCAGGGCATAATGGGTTTGTACCTTTGTCACAGGATTAGTAAGAGTTTGTAATACTTCCCTAACAGTTTAAAGCTTTTGTCCCATAATATCTAGGTAACCCTTAGTGCCTTTCCCACAGTGGGTGCCGTTCCTTCCACCAGAATGCACATGAGGCAAGGCTTTTTCACTCTTTGAGACCCTTTCTCCCTGGAAATCTGATTAACCTCTAATTCATCCTTCCTATGTTCCAAATTGGATCCTGTTAAATTCTGGCCATTGGGCTGCACATCCATCTCCTTTGATTTGGAGATCTGTGTTCTAACAGCTTTGCCTATGATCTGCTAGCCCGAAGCATCCCATCTCTGAATCTTCCCACACCCATGCTTGATTTTCACTATATTTGGCAGCCCTTCACCATACATTATGATTCAGATTTGCAAATATTTCCTACATTTGCCAATAAAGAAGTATGCATTTGTTTTTCACTCTCCTGGTTGCTTTGCCATTCAAAGAGGAAGAGATGAAATCTGTTTCTTTAACATGACATTTTTAGAACCAGAATCTTTCTAAGAAAATTTGTTCTCCATTTGATTAGTACAAATAAATAAGCTTGGGTAAGTACATATCAGAATAACATCAAAAACAAGAATTCAAAGGTATTATATAACCACTAAACAGACTTTCCATGTTATTAAAGAATACTGAAAACAACTACAAAAGATTAACCAATGTAATACGAAATAAAATCCTTATCTGAAATATATAATTCTCACCACTTTAAGAGAGATATAAATTAACTAAGAATGATCAAAAAGGGCAGCTAACATGACTGAGTTTTCACATGAGGACAAACTAAAAATAGTGGAACCTGCTGGGCCTGGTGGCTCATGCCTGTAACACAGCACTTTGGGAGGCCAAGGCAGGTAGATCACCTGAGGTCAGGAGTTTGAGACAAGCCTGACCAACACAGTAAAACCACATCTGTACTAAACACAAAAAATTATGTGGGTGTGGTAATGTACTCTTGTAATTCCAGCTATTTGGGAGGCTGAGGCAAGAGAATCACTTGAACTTGGGAGGCGGAGGTGGCAGTGATCCAAGATTGCGCCACTGCACTCCAGCCTGGGTAACAAGTGCGAAACTCCCTCTCAAAAAATAAAAATAAAAATAGTGAGACTCTTAATGCCAAAGAAAACAGCTAAAAGAATATGGTCAAACCTCACAAAGTCACAAACAACAGTGAGTGTGCTGTGTCATTATTTATGTAAAGATGCAACATCAGTGTCTCTACAAATACTAGAACAAAAAAACTATGCCCTATTGAACACTGCTAAGGGCTGAACTGTTCACCCCAAAATTTGTATGTTCAAACCCTAACCTCCAGTCTGACTCTGTTTGGAGACAGGTCCTTTATGAAGATTGTCTCAGTCCATTTGAGTTGCTACACCAAAATATCTTAGACTGGACAATGCATAATAGACTTTACTGTTCACAATTCTGGAGGCTGGCAAGTACAAGATCAAGGCCCCAGCAGATTCAGGATCTGTGAGGGCTCACTTTCTGTTTCAAAGTTGGTGCCTTCTTGCTGTCTTTACATGGTGGAAGGAGCAAACAAGCTCTCTCAGGCCTCCTTTATAAAAGTGTTAATCCCATTCAGGAGAAAGAACCTTTATGGCCTAATCACCTCCCCAAAACCCCACCTCTTCATATCACCACAATGGGGATTAGGTTTCAACATAATAAATTTTGGGAGGACACAAACATTAGAGGGCGTAAGGATGAAGCCCTGATCTAACAGAATTAGTGTCCTTTAAGAAGAGATACCAGAGAGCTCTCTCTTTCTACCATGTGAGGACACAGCAAGGTGGCAATTATCTGCAAGCCAGAAAGAGAGCCCTCACCAGAAAGCAGCTACATACCCTAATCCTGGGCTTTCAGTCTTCAGAACTGTGAGAAGATAAATGTCAGTTGTTTAAGCCACCTAATCTATGATATTTTGTTATGGCAGCCCAAGCAGGCTCTGACAAATATGAAATAAGTAGTTTTGAAATCAATTATTCTGTGTGTTTTAAGAGGGAGTTAGGGTAAAAACTAGGTCTATGACGGGCCCAGTGGCTCACACCTGTAATCCCAGCACTTTGGGAGGCCAAGGTGGATGGATTGCTTGAGCCCAGAAGTTTGAGACCAGCTTGGGCAACATGGTGAAATACCATATCTACTAAAAATTATCTAGGTGTGGTAGTGTACACCTGTAGTCCCAACTACTTAAGAGGCTCAGGTGGGAGGATCACCCGAGCCCAGGGGGTTAAGGCTGCAGTGAGCTGTGATGGGCAACAAAGTGAGAACCTGACCTGCCCCGCCAAAAAAAACCTAGGTCTAGATATCAATTATGAACAAAATTTGGGGTACTTTCTTACATTCTAAAGTCATTACACAGGGCAAATATGTTGTCATTGACAAAGCATTAAACTGGGTTGTTGGGGAATAAAACTGGCCTGCATAGGCCACTAATATGACATATAAGTATGTATGTCATACTTACGAACTGCTCAGTAAGAGTGACAGCAAATAATGCTATTGAAATTACTTTCAATGAATGCAACAAAATAAATGCAATAAAGTGCAATAAATAATTTTCTTCAATTTATGACAAGATTTTTTGACAAAAATTAAGGAATATTCATGAACAGTCAAAAAGATAAATCATGCATTGAGTGGCGGAAAATATACAAAACTAAAACGATTTTAGAATATGGCAAGGGTTCTTACTAAGGGTGGCAGGAGGAAAGAAAAAGCTCTTAAATTCTTTCAAGTACCACAAATTAAAATAGCTTTAAATTCTCTAATGATGATACAGAGATTTGAAATAAAGGAATATAACACCAGTAAGGCAATATAGTTATTGCTTACATGTTTAAAACACCCATAGGGAACTGCTGTGGACCCTGTTTCTTCTAGATAATCTTCCCAGCTTAATTCTACCTCTTCCATACCAGAGCCGGCATCTAGAATGAAAAAATGAAACAAAAACATGTGAATTCCAATTAAAGAAAAGTCAAGGTATAAAAGCATAAACTTAATAAACCTAACTTTACAGAATTTACTTCTTAACTGATTTTGCACAAAACAATTAAGTAGGGTTTTTGTTGTTTAAATGATAGGTGCCTTTAGTGCACTGATTGTCAATGAACCTTCAAAGAACAGTAGTTTGGCATGCTGTCTCTTGCTGAAGAGGCACCCAAATCCAGAGTTCACCCAAATGGATCATATGAAGCTGGTGGGAATATAAACCACTACTATTACGTTGGACTGAAATTTAGTATTCTAACGTCAAACACTGAAGATACTTAACAGGCATTTTGAACTTAAATATTCAGCTTGATTCTTTCTTAGTACTCTCTGAGTGAAAGATGCTCCTAGTAAGTATTTTCCCTCAATCAAAAACAAAGTGTCATTATCCTTTTTCTCTATACCTTACATCCAATCTGTAAAATAATTCTGCAGGTACTATCTTTAAAACATATCCCAAGTGTTAAGAGAAAAATTTATAGCACTAAATTTCCCACATCAAAAAACAAGAAAGATTGCCCAACATTGCAACTAAATGAACTAGAGAACCAAGAGCAAAGAGACCTCAAAGCTACCAGAAGGTAAGAAATAATTGAGATCAGAGAGGAACTGAAGGAGACAGAGACATGAAAAACCCTTCAAAAATAAAATCAACAAATACAAGAGCTGTTTTTTTAAAAGAATTAATGAAATACCTGTAATCCCAGCACTTTGGGAGGCCGATGTGGTCAGATCACTTGAGGTCAGGAGTTGATACCAGCCTGGCCAACATGGTGAAACCTTGTCTCTACTGAAAACACAAAAATTAGCCAGGCATGGTGGCACATGCCTATAATCCCAGCTTCCCAGAAGGCTGAGGCAGGAGACTCTTCAACCCAGGAGGTGGAGGTTGCAGTGAGCCAATATCATGCCACTGCATTCCAGCCTGAGTGATGATGAAGTGAGACTCTGTCTTAAAATAAATAAATAAATAATAAAATAGAGAGACCGCTAACTAGACTAATAAAGAAGAAAGAAGAATCAAATGGATACAATAAAAAATGATAAAGGCATATCACCACTGACCCCACTGAAATACAAACAACCATCAGAGAATACTATAAATAACCTCCATGCAAATAAACTAGAAAATTTAGAAGAAATGGATAGATTCCTGGACACATAGACCCTCCCAAGACTGAATCAGGAAGAAGTTCAATCACTGAACAGACCAATAATGAGTTCTGAAATTGAGGCAGTAATAAATAGCTTACCAACCAAAAAATGCCCAGGACCAGATGGATTCACAGCTGATTTCTACCAGAGGTACAAACAAGAACTGGTACCATTTCTTCTGAAACTACTGCAAAAAGCTGAAAACAAGGGACTCCTCCCTAACTCATTTTGTGAAGCCAGCATCATCCTGATACCAAAACGTGTCAGAGAAACAACAAAAAAAGAAAACTTCAGGCCAATATCCCTAATGAACATCGATGTAAAAATCCTCAGTAAAATACTGGAAAACATAATCTAGCAGCACATCAGAAAGCTCATCTACCACAAGTAGGCTTCATCCTGAAATGCAAGGCTGGTTCAACATACCCAAATCAATATGCGTAATTCATCATATAAACAGAACTAAAGACAAAAATCACATGATTATCTCAATAACACAGAAAAGCCTTCAATAAAATTCAACATCCCTTCACGTTTAAAACTCTCAATAAACTAGGTATTGATGGAACATATCCCAAAATAATAAGAACCATTTATGACAAACCCACAGCCAATATCATACTGAATAGGCAAAAGCTGGAGGCATTTCCCTTGAAAATTGGCACAAGACAAGGATGTCCTCCCTCACCATTCCTATTCAGTGTAGTACTGGAAGTTCTGGCCAGGACAATAAGGCAAGAGGAAGTGACAAAGTGTATTCAAATAAGAAGAGAGGAAGTCAAACTGTCTCTGCTTGCAGATGATATGATCCTATATCTAGAAAATCCCATCATTCCAACCCAAAACCTTCTTAAGCTGAGAAGCAACTTTCACGAAATCTCACGATACAAAATCAATATGCGAGAATCACAAGCATTCCTATACACCAAAAACAGACAAGCAGAAAGCCAAATCATGAATCAACTCCCATTCACAACTGCTACAGAGAATAAAATACCTAAGAATATAGTTAATAAGGAAAGTGAAAGACCTCTTTAAGGAGAACTACAAACCACTGCTCAAGGAAATCAGAGAGGACACAAACGGAAAAACATTCCATGCTCACGAACAGGAAGAATCAATATCGTGAAAATGGTCATACTGCCCAAAGTAATTTATAGATTCAATGCTATTCCCATTAAACTACCATTGACATTCTTCATGGAATTAGAAAAAAAAACTTTAAAATTTCATATGAAACCAAAAAAGGGCTTGTATGGCTAAGACAATCAAAGAACAAAGGTGGAATCATAACCCTATCTGACTTTATACTACAAGTCTACACTAATCCAAACAGCATGGTACTGGTATGAAAACAGACACCTAGGCCAATGGAACAAACAGAGAACTCAGAACTGCACATCTACAACCATCTGATCTTTGACAAACCTGACAAAAACAAGCACTAAGGAAAGGATTCCCTACTTAATAAATGGTGCTAGAAGAACTGACTAGCCCTATGCAGAAAATTGCAACTGGACCCCTTCCTTACACCTTATACAAAAATTAACTCAAGATGCATTACAGACTTAAATGTAAAACCCTAAACTACAAAAATCCTAGAAGAAAATCTAGGCAATGCCATTCAGGGCATAGGCACAGACAAAGATTTCGTGACGAAAACAACAAAAGCAAAACAAATTGACAAATGGGATCTAATTAAACTAAAGAGCTTCTGCATAGCAAAAGAAACTATCATCAGAGCAAACAGACAACCAATGGAAAACCTTTTTGTAATCTATACATCTGACAAAGGTTTAATATCCAGAATCTACAAGGAACTTAAACAAATTTACAAGAAAAACCCAAACAACCCCATTAAAAAGTGGGCAAAGGACATGAACACTTTTCAAAAGAAGACATTTATGCAGCCAACAAACATAAAAAAGCTCAACATTACTGAACATTAAAGAAATGCAAATCAAAACCACAATGAGATACCATCTCATGCCAGTCAGAATGGTGATTATTAAAAAACTCAAGAAACAGGCTGGGCATGGTCCACTGTAGAAAATCGTAGAGCAAAGTATTTTTAATTATCATATTATCTATCTATCTATCCATCTCTGTCTGTCTGTGTATGTACCCAAAAAGAATTAAAAACAGGGACTCAAACATGTATTTGTACATAAATGTTCACAGCAGCAATATTCACAATAACCAAAAGGTGGAAGCAACCCAAGTGTCCTTCACCAGATGAATGAATAACAAAATGAATGTGGTATATACATACAATGGAATATTATTTAGCCTTTTATAAAAAGGAAATTCTGGCCAGGTACAGTGGTTCATGCCTATAATCCCAAAACTTTGGAAAGCCAAGGTGGGAGGACAGCTTAAGCCCAGGAGTTTGAGACCAGCCTGAGAAACAGAAGGAAATCTCATGTGTACAAAAATATTTTTAAAAGTTAGCTGAGCATGGTGATGAGTGTCCATAGTCCCAGCTACTTGAGAGGCTGAGGTGGGAAGATCACTTGGGAGACTGGGGCCACAATGAGCAGTAATCACCTCACTGCACTCCAGCCTGGTCAACAGAGTGAGACCACATCCCCCCTAAAATAAAGTTCTGACACATAGTATAACATTGATAAACACTGAAGACATTATGCTAAGAGGAATAAGCTAGTCACAAGACAAATACTATAAGATTTCACTTAAATGAGATACCTACAGTAGTTGAATTCACAGAAACAGAAAAGTAAATGGTGGGTGCCAGGGGCTAGGGAAACTGGGTCATGGGGAGTTACTGCTGAATGGGTATACAGTTCCCATTTGTAAATTTAAGGAGAGGGATGGCAGTCATGATTGCACAACAATGTGAATGTACTTAATGCCAATAAACTATACAATTAAAGATTGTTAAAATGGCCTGCAGTCCCAGCTACTCAGGAGGCTGAACCAGGAGAACCTTGACCCCAGGAGTTCAAGACTGTAGTGTACTATAATTGTGCCTGTAAACAGCCACGGCACTCCAGCCTTTAAAATGTTGCAAGACCCCATCTCATTTAAAAAAAAAAAAAAAAGAGGTGAAAATGGTAAATTTTACATTGTGGACATTTTACCACAATAAAAAAGTAAAAAGAAATATTGAACATTAACATTTATTAAATATTTATGCTAGGTACATGGCTGTTTTGTTACAGTCTTTTCCATAGTTTTAGTGTATTTGAAATGTTTTCATTAGAAATACAAGCCAATAAAGACTGCTTTGAGAATATCTTGAAAGCACAGGCCAGTAGAAATTCAATTTGCATTACTAAAACATATCAAGTCTGGGCATTCGTGGTCCTTAGCAAGGACTCTAGGCCCTTAAAAAGCATGTTAATTTAAAAATAAAAAGTAAATAACAATTAAAATGATGAATCACTCAACTAAAATCTCTCACACAAAGCCGAGAAGAAACAAGACTAATGAAGCAATGAGATAATAAGCAAGATACATAAGAGTTTATTTAAAAAATGAATAATCCTTAAATATATGAAAAATGTACAAATTTTATTTTAAGAGAAATACAAATTAAAATGACAGAGACATCAGATTGAAAAGAATTCCAAAGTGTGACAATATACTCTATGGTGAGGCTGTAAACAGGTAAAGCATAATGACACAACCTCTTGGAAGAAAACTTGGCAATATCTAACAAAATTATGTATTTATTTACCTTTTGATCCAGCAATCCCACTTCTAGGAATCTATCCCAAAGATATGCTGGCAAAAATACAAAAAGACATATGTACAAAGCCATTCATTGCAGCACTATTTGTAATACCAAGACTGAAAATAACCCTAATGTCCATCAATAAGGAAATGGTTGAATAAATATGGTATATATATTCAGTACTGGTTGCTGTAAAAAGCAATGAGAACAATCTCTATATACTGATGTGGAATAATCTCCAAAATATACTGTTAAGAGAAACCACACTACATAACATTAGTTTTTTTTTTTAATCCCCACTTTTTGTATAAGATGGGAAAGAGGACAGGCGCACTGGCTCACACCTATAATCCTAGCACTTTGGGAGGCCAAGGTGGGTGGATCACATGAGGCCAGGAGTTCCAGATCAGCCTGCCCAACATGGTGAAACCTCATTTCTACTAAAAATACAAAAATTACCCTGGTGCCTGGTGGTGTATGTCTGTAATCCCAGCTAATCAGGAGGCTGAGGCATGAGAATCACTTGAACCCGAAGGCAGAGGTTGCAGTGAGCCAAGACTGTGCCACTGCACTCCAGCCTGGATGACAGTGAGACTCCCTTTCTCAAAAAAAAAAAAAAGGTATGTATTTCCATGGCAGGGCATGGTGGCTCACACCTGTAAATTCTAGCATTTTTGGAGGCTGAGGCAGGAAAATTACTTGAGGCCAGGAGTTTGAGACCAGCCTGGGCAACATAGCAAGACCTCATTGCTACAAAAATAAAAAACTGCTGGGCATGTGCCTGTAGTCCCAGCCACTTGGGAGGTTGAGGTGCGAAGATCACTTAAACACAGGAGTTTGAGGCTACAGTAAGCTCTGATCATGCCACTGCACTCCAGCCTGGGTGACAGAGCAAAATTTTGTCTCTAAAACATAAAAAATAAATTTAAATATGTATTTTCTGGCTATGTCTAGAAGTAAGGCCTAGAATAAATGACAACCTGGTATCAAATTAGCATTCCAGCACCCAGATTGTGGTCTCTAAATACCATACCTACTTTAAAGAAAAAAAAGCTCCTCAGAGAAATAGTAGATTGCAAGTTTGGGGCAGGTTATGTTCAGGAGGTACTTGGGAATCTTACTGGTCCAGAAGTCAAGGACTAACTGTATCAAAGATACATCACTTCAGAAGAGCACAGAAACCAGTCTGACAGAACTCTAGCTGCTCTAGAATTTGATCATCAAATGAATGATTACAGCAATGAATTCAAACTCATCAAATGTATATATATACATATATGTACTTGAATACATGAGTTAATAATATTTAAAACAAAAGAAAAATCAACCCACTCTCCCATAAAAGAACCAAAAGATTGGCTAACCAATGAAAATCAATCATTTCAAAGTTCTAAAATTAACCAAAGGCACGGAACAAACAAAAAGCATCTATTCAAGATAAGCCACTAAACCTCAGTTAGAAGAGCAAAATTTAACATTTTAAGATGGGGCCATATCCCTCTTCCTTCCCCAGCTCAAAAAGAAAATTTTCGAACTGAAAATAATCCAATTAAAAAAAAAAAACTCTATGGGTAAGTTAACAGCAAAATGAAGCAGACAAGAAAGAATGAGTAAAACTGAAGACAAAACAACAGAAAACACGCAATCTAAACAACAGAGAAAACATTTTTTAAAAATGAAGGGGGTCTGAGGGACCTGTGGGACAATAAGAGAAGCTCCAATGTTAGTTTTATCAAAGTTCCAGAAAAAGAAGAAATGACAACTGAAAAAATATTTGAAGAAATAATGGCTAAAAATTTTCTAAACCTGTCAAAAGATATTAAGTCTATAAACTCAAGAAGCTAAGTAAACTCCAAATAAGATAAACCCCAGGAAATCCATAAAAAGATACACTAGGCTCAAACTTCTGAAAACTAAAAAGAAAAAAAAATTAAAATTAACAAAAGAGAAACCTCTCTTAAAGCAGAGAGTTGGTGGTGGGGAGTGTCCAATGACAGCAGATTTCTCATCAGAAACTATGAAGTCCAGAAAGAAGAAGCACAATATTTTTGGAGAGCTGAGAGAAATGAACTTTCAACGCAGGATTCTATATCCAGCAAAAATATCCCTCAAGAACAAATGGGGAAATCAACACATTCTCAGATGAAAGGAAACAAAAACAATCTGTTACTAGTAGACCTCCTTTAAAAAAAATGACTAAAGAAAATTCTCTAAATAGAAATGAAATGACAAAAGAAACTTGGAAAATCAGGAAAGAATAAATGACAACAGAAAGAGTAAAAATATTGAAAAATATAATTTTCCTTAAGTGTTCTAAATTATACATTTGACAGTTTAAGCAAAAATGTTAAGCATGTCTGATGTGGTTCCCAAATATGTAGAGAAAATATTTAAAGCAATTATAAATAAAAAAGGGTAAAGAGATGTAAAAGTACATAAGGTTTCTATACTTCACTCAAAGGAATAAATGACGATTGTGATGTTATATATATGTGTGTGTGTGTGTGTGTGTATGTAATGTAATACCTAAAGTAATCACTAATATGTGCTACAAAATGATATACTCAAAAACACTACAAATCAAGATTCTAAAAAAAAAAAAAGTTCAAGTAACCCACAGCAAAGCACAGGGGAAAAAAAGAACACAGGAACCAGTCTGAAAGAATGCCCACTGCTCTAGAGAAACAAACAAAAACAGAAAAAATAAAGCAAAAAAGGCAGACTTGAATCAAAACATATCAATAATTACATTAAGTATAAATGGTATACACACATCTTCTAAGGCCAGAATTTTTTTAAATGACTATATGCTGTTTCAAGAACCTTATTTCAAATATAATGACACAGGCATGTTGAAAAGGATGAAAAAGATACACCATGTAAACGTTAATAAAAGAAAGCATGAACAGGTAAATCCATAGAGACAGAAAGTAGATTATGAATGCCAGAGTCTGGGTGGAACAGGAAACAACAGCTAATGGTATGTTGTTGGGGGTGATGGAATGTTCTGGAATTAGATAGCAGTGATGGTTGGACAACTTTGTGAACAGACTAAAAACCTCTGAATTATGTATTCTAAAAGGGTTGATTTTATGGTATGTGTATTGCATCTCAAAAAAAAATCATGCTTTGATAAAGCTTTTTGCAAAACAAAACAAAAATCCAAAAAACCCAAAATCCTTATTAATTAAAAATAAACCAATTAAGAATAAGCCAAAGACATGAAGAGATATTTCATTGAAGAGGATATAGAGATGCCAAATAGGAACATGTAAAGATGTTCAATATCACTGGCAGCCATCAGGGAGGTACAAATTAACACCATGATGAGCTGTCAATACCCACCTATCAGAATGGCTTAAATAAAAGTAATGACAACACCAGATAATAGTGAGGATGTGGAGAAACTAGATCTCTCATATACTGCTGGAGAGAATGTAAAATGGCACAGCCACTCTGGAGCATAATTCTGCAGTTTTCTTTACTAAATATGATCAAGTGATTGTGCTGCTGGGTATGTACCCCAGAAAAATAAAGTATTATACACATAATTGCTGATAGCAATCACTTGTTTTACAGCCAAAAACTGGAAACAACCAAAATGTACTACAACAGATGAATGGTTAACCAAACCGTAGTACATTCGTGAATACCACTCCACAATAAAAAGGAACAAACTGTCAACGTATGCAGAGCCTGGATGGATCTCAACGGCATTATTTTGAAAGAAAAAAGCCCATTTCAAAAAGCCATGTACTATGTTATTCTATTTATGTAACATTCTTTAAGTGACCACATTAGAGAGATGGAGAACAGATTTACAGTTGCCTGGGTTTAGGGAAAGTAGGGGGAAGGAGGATAGGTGCGGGAGCTCTTTGCGGTGATGGAATAGTTCTGTATCTTGACTGAGCGGATGGTTCCAGGAATCTACATATGTGATAAAAATGACACAGAATTACACATTCTTTATACGAATATCAATTTCCTCAGTTTTATATCATATTATAGTAACTAACAAGAGAAACTAGGTGAAAGGAACATGAAATCTGTAAGTGCTATCTTTGCAAACTCCTGTGAATGCTTAATTGCTTCAAAATAACTAGAAAGTAATCATCAAAATTTTAATGCTATTTCAAAAAAGGAGTCTGTTCATAACCGTTTCTTATTTTTTCAGCAAACATTATTAGTAGCCCCTAGTGCCAGGTTCTCTGACAGGTACAGAAGATGGCAAAGAAAAACAACCTACAACTTCAAAGAACTTCCAGTTTAGTGGTAGAGAGATAAGTCAGACAATGTAACACAGGCAAGTAACATAATTGTGCATCCTAGAGAATAAATTCTGAGAATAAAACCAATACCTGCATCAAGCTGCTGCTCCCCGTTCATTTCCACAGCATATAGGCTATATCCTCCCAACACAAAGGAAAGGCCTATGGTTCTGCTAAGATCTGAAGATTACTTGCAGGTTTCAATCTGTTCAATGGTTATCCAAGGGTCCAAATGAAAGTGCTGAAAAATGAAAAATAACACATAAACAGCCTGAAACCCAAGTGTGTTTACTTGCTCATAAAACATGGCACTCCACTAGTTGAGAGATAAGACAAAAACACTAGCAGAATAGATGGGATTGGAAGAAAAAATTGACACCTTTCCTAATTTTGAAGAGTCTATATGTGTATTTGTGGGCGCATGTATATCTGTGTATGTGTAGAAAGTATACACTATCGAGATCTTGATAACAAATCTAAAACTCACAATAACCTAAGACATACATGAATCATTACCCTTTAAATTTACATTACCATACTTAGTACCATGATTCCTACCCACAAAACTCCAATTCCTAACTGTTTCCTAAGGGGATGAGGGAGTTGGCCTTCAATGCTGCCTTACCCAACAAATATGATTCAGGATACCATATATTACTTCATCTAATTTTTTATTTCATTTATCTAGATTATGCAGAACCATAAATATGAACCGTATTATCCTACAATTATAAAGATAATTCCTCCAGAATAAGCTTTGAACCTATTTATTCTTTTTGAAAAAAAGTTCTAGGGCTGGATGCAGTGGCTCATACCTGCAATCCCAGCACTCCGGAAGGCTGAGGTGGGAAGACTGCTTTGAGTCCAGGAGTTTAAGACGAGCCTGGGCAACATGGTAAAACCTCATCTGTACTAAAAATACAAAAACTAGAGGGGCATGGTGGCACACGCCTGTAGTTTCAGCTACTTGGGAAGCTGAGGTGGGAAGATGGCTTGAGTCCAGGGGGCGGAGGTTGCAGTGAGCCAAGATCACACCGCTGTACTCCAGCCTGGGTGACAGAGCCAGACACTGTCTCAAAAAAAGATTTTAAAAAAAACACCATACTTGATTGAGATATAATTTGCATATGAAAATTTCCCATTTTAAGTGTACAAATTAATAATTTCTAGTGAATGTACAAAGTGTAACCATCATCACAACTGAATTTGAGAATATTTCTACTATCCTGAAAAGAAGCCACATGCCCACTTGCAGTTCCTTCCCATTCCAACCCTAAGCTCAAGCAACCACTCATCTGCTTTCTGTCTCTACAGATTTTGCATTTCCTGAACATTTCATATAAATGAAACCCATTGATATGTGGTCTTTCATATTTGGCTTTCTTTCTCTTATCATGTTTTTGAGGTTCATCCCTGTTGCAGTATGGATGAATCTATTTATTCTTGCTTTATATACATGTAAAATAATCTAAGATATTATCTTAATATGTGCCTAATACATTAGAAAAAGTAAATGAAAGGGAGAAAATAGCTGGTACAAGCATGGCATGAACTAACTGCAAGAGCGACAATACAGAAAACTACAGAATTGTGACGCGTACTTAACATCACAGCTTCGGGGGTGATATCCTGCAGGATCAAGCAATTCTCTACCTCTCAAAAGTTTTGAGTATGTATTAGAGCCCCTAGTAAATGATTCTCATAAGCAACTTTAATCACAAAGAAAAAGCTTGAATTTTATTTTTAATTAATTAATTAATTTGTTTTGTTTTTGAGATGAAGTCTTGCTCTTGGTCCCCCAAGCTGGAGTGCAATGGCACAATCTTGGCTCACTGCAACTTCCGCCTCCCGGGTTCAAGTGATTCTCCTGCCTCAGCCTCCTGAGTAGCTGGGATTACAGGCACCTGTCACCATACCCAGCTAATTTTTGTATTTTTAGTAGAGACGGGATTTCATCATGTTGGCCCGGCTGGTCCTCAGGTGATCCGTCTGCCTCAGCCTCCCAAAGTGCTGGGAATACAGGTGTGAACCATCATGCCCAGCCAAGACCTTAGATTTTAATACATCCTTTTATCACTCTTATATACCTGAAGAGGTGTCAGCTACCTAAAGGACAATACCTTAAAATGGGTAGGGATGGCAAGGCACATGGCTCATACCAGTAACCCTAGCACTTTGGAAAACCAAGGCGGGCAGATCACTTGAGCCCAGGAGTTCAAGACCAGCTTGGGCAACACAGCAAAACCCTGTCTCAAAAATATATATATATATAAATTAGCTGGATGTGATAGTGCAGGCCTGTAGTCCCAGCTACTTGGGTGGCTGAGGCAGGAGAACACTTGAGTCCAGGAGGCTGAGGCTGCAGTGAGCCAAAATTACGCCACTGCACTCCAGCCTGGGCAATGGGAGTGAAACCCTGTCTCAAAAAAAAAAAGGTGGGGGGGGGGTAAGGAAACCTAGGTTATAGAGCCCCCTCTACTGATAAGTAGCTAAGCAATCATGATACATTACCATATTACATCAATTTTTTATCTGTAAAATGAATAAAGATCTTTTTCAGATTTAAAATTTTTGTTTCATAATGAGGATAGAAAAAGTTTTTAGTAACTATTAAAATTGTGGATATCCCACTTGAGATAAATGCCAGTTATCCCAAATCATATCACAGTATATAAGCACTGAAACCCACACTTTCAAAGATGGGAACAATCAAATCGAAATTTGAGAATGCTATTAAAGGCTTCTAAATGTGCTCTCTTCCCTCAGTTTATGTTTCTACCCCAAGCCCAAAACATTCAAACTGTATCACTCCACCTACTAATGTATTCATTCCCCACGTACTTATCAAACACCAGCTCCTTACCAACCGCTATTCTCGGGATGGGGTAAAGCAATCAAGAGAGACATGGTTCCTGCTTTCATGGAGCTTATTTCCAACTGGAGGGAGACAAATTCAGCCAACAATAAAAAAAATCATTTAAATCGCTATGAAGCAAAAGTACTGGGTGATAAGACAGAATATAAAACCTAACATGGTAGGTCACTGACTGTGTCCCTGAGAAAATGATACAGCAGCTAGGCAAAACAGGGAGAAAGGGAGGACTATTTCAAGCACCAAGAACAGCATATACCAAGGCTCTACAGTGGGAAGGACCTGAAGGCTGCTGTGGCTGGAGCATTCGAACCAACAGAGTAAGTGGCAAACGATCGAACAGGAAGAGAAGGGATAACAGCAATTAATATTTACTGAGGACTGCCTATGTGCTGGGGCACTGTTTTAAGCAGATTGTTGACAAGTTCAAGTTCCTATGGCTCTAATTTTGTGGATAATCTCCATATATAAAGTCTTGACACTTCAACATGGTTTTGACAGTACAAGTCAGTCCTAAATAAATATCGGTTGGGTCACTAGGCTTTGAAGATGTCATCTACTGTTTATGTTCATAAACTCTTGGAGCATGTTATTTTGTGCAGAGAGCCACAAAGTACAAAAAACGATAATTACTGAAGCTTCAAAAGCCAAAAGCCATGAAGTAAGAGAGAAGCAAATCTCATGTAGCCGAAAGCTAAGGCTGTGACATTTTTTCAATCTTACATCATCATTTAGATTTTAGCCAATGAGCAGTCAGTTCATCATCTTAACAGGATCATAAGAAATAGACTGTGAATTCTTCTGCTGTGGAGCATCTGTTAATACTCTCTCTTTATTGTTAGCCTATGCTGTCTTTTTACACAGTAAAGAAAAAATGGTAAAATATCCAGGAGCTTGTATATAAAATTTTAATTTAATTTTCCTTTATTTACTGTTCATATTATTTTACTGTCATCATTTATTTTATCACTTATTTTGGTATTATCACCCCTCCTGTGGTGAACAGAACACACTAAGAGTTACTCATTTAAGGCCTGGTGCAATGGCTCATACCTGTAATCCCAACACTTTGAGAGGCTGATGCAGGCGGACTGCTTGAGGTCAGGAGTTTGAGACCAACCTGGCCAACATGGTAAAACCCCATCTCTACTAAAAACACACACACACACACAAATTAGCCAGGTGTGGTGGCGGGCACCTGTAATCCCAACTACTTCGGAGATTGAGAAGAGAATTGCTTGAGCCCAGGAGGCTAAGGCTACAGTGAGCCAAGATTGTGCCACTGCAGTCCAGCCTGGGCAGCACAGTGAGACTCTGTCTCAAAAAAAAAAAAAGTGACTCATTTAAATTAAATGCTTATAAGGCTGGGCCCAATGGCTCACCCCTGTAATCTCAGTGCTTTGGAAGCCTGAGGTGGAAGGATCTCTTGAGCCCAGGAGTCTAAGGTTACCGTGAGCAAAGATCACGCCACTGCATTTTAGCCTGGATAAGAGAGGGAGATCCTGTCTCAAAAATAAATAAATAAAAATTAAGACATTCTCATGAATGAACTGATCTGGATCTTACTCATCTAATTTAATACTTTAGTGAACTAAATAGGTGCCTAGATATTTGGAGGAGTTTCTAAGAAAATATACTGAAGCTTGGAGAAATTTTAAACATTTCCAAGAAACAGAAATAAAAATTGAAAAGGCAAAGCTAACTAGAAAAAATAAGCTCTCAAGACAAATACTTAAAAGAAACAACAGCTAAACCTGGGCATAAAAATCAAAATGAATAGCTATTTTATTTTTTTTATTGTACTTTAGGTTCTGGGGTACATGCGCAGATCATGCAGGAATTGTTTCATAGGTACACACATGGCAATGTGGTTTGCTGCCTCAACTATTTCATTTTTAAGTGGTTCATCAATATAATATAAAACGACCATGGAATTTTAACAGATTTTTTAAAAAGACCTAAAAGTCATCTGAACAACAAATATGTTATACAAAAATTTCCCCTTCCATCTTGGTGGGTTTTTTTTAGACAGTCTCGCTCTATTGCCCAGGCTGGAGTATAGTGGTACAATCTCGGCTCACTGAAACCTCTGCCTCCCAGGTTCAAGCAATTCTCCTGCCTCAGCCTCCCAAGTAGCTGGGATTACAGGTGTGAGCTACCAGGCCTGGCTAATTTTTGTATTTTTAGTAAAGACAGGATTTAACCATGTGGCCAGGTTGGTCTTGAACCCCTGACCTCAAGTGATCCACCTGCCTCAGCCTTCCCATCTTGTTTTAGATTACACATATAGTCCACACTCAAAGCCCAGTAGTAGTAACCTCACTTCATGTTAATGCCCTTGTTTTCAAGGCAATGATAAGCATTGAATA